GCGAGTTAAAAGGAAGCCGAAAGTTGCTGGGAAGTTGCTCGGGTGCTGGGAGCAGGCTTTTAAAGTGCCGCCCGAGCAGGACCGTCGAGCCGGGAAACGGGGCACCAAGGCAGGGCAAGGCTCCACCAGCAGCGGCCTAGCTTTAGGTGGCTCCAAGCAGCCCGCCCCGCCCGCCGGGTGGAACCCTTCCCGCTCCTCGGTGGGAAGACGCTCCAGCCTGCAAGCTTTGCCTTTGCAAAGTTTAAGCCTGGAAGTCCCGGAAAAAAAGGGGGGATCGGCGGGGACTCACCTTCGGAGAGGTCGCACTCGAAGGTGATTTCGAACTCCCAGCCGAGGCCTTTGCAAATTTCTTTTCTTTCCTACCCCTAGATCGCTCCGCACTGTTTTGCAGCTTTGGGGGCCACGCAGCACAGGGCAATACGCCACGCCCAGCGATTTTTTTTCAGAGGCGGGCCGCATTGGACAGACCAACGGGCCGGATGTGGCCCACGGGCCGTAGTTTGCCCACCCCTGCTATAGCACTATCTTTAGTATTATGTCCAGTGTCTTCCCTCTATACTTATATTCTATCCTTAGACTTTCCTTCACTTTGCTTGGTTATTAATAACTAATCCTAGTACCCTGCATATTAGATGCTAATGTTCAGTGCTTGATTGCATATTGTTTAATATTCATTAAGTTACTCTGAGTGCTAGTTTTGTTATGCAAAAGCAGTACTACATTGTTAAATTTATTCAAGTTTGCTTGTTGAATGTTTCATGGCAAACCAGTGAACTTGAAAATGTTTATGCGATAAATTTTAGCCACAATATTTTAAGGTAACTCCTACTGGAATAGCATGTTAATTCAATTTCATACCTTACAACTTCGGATCCATTTGAGCCCTTTTGTTTGAAGGGACCAATTGAAAACCATAAGGGTTTTGAAAAGTGCCTTGAACATTCTCTAAGACATGAGATGTCCAGAACGGATTGATTTAATGGACCATTTATCTCCTAGGCTATGCCTACTCTTATAGAGTTAATGAAGGACCCCAGCGTAGTAGTCAGAGATACAACCGCATGGACTGTGGGTCGGATTTGCGAGCTGCTACCTGAAGCAGCCATAAATGATATTTACCTCGCTCCATTGTTGCAGTGTCTAATTGAAGGCTTGAGTGCAGAGCCAAGAGTGGCCTCCAATGTCTGCTGGGTAAGTCAGAATTCTTATTCTGAATATATGTTTGAGTGCTGGATAATTTAGAAAAAAGGCTTATGGTTTTGAATCTGCAGTTGTTCCAAATGTACAGGTAGTCCTTGACTTACGACAATTGGGACCAGAATTTCTGTCTCTAAGTGATATAGTTGTTAAGTTGCACATGATTTTATGAGTTTTGCCATGCTTGTTAAGCAAATCACTGCAGTCATTAAGTGAATCCAGATTCCCCCATTGAATTTGTTTGTCAGAAGCCCCCTGGGAGGATCATAAATGGTGATCCGGTAACCCCAGGATGCTACAACTATTCTCAGTGCATGACAGTTGCCAAGCACCCAAATTTTGATCACATGACCACAAGGGACACTGCAACAGCCATAAGTCACTTTTTTCAGCACCTTCATAACTTTAGATGGTCGTTATACAAATGATCATAAGTTGAGGACTACCTGTATAAAGTTACAGGTAAAACATTGGCACCAAGACAAAAAATGTTTGGTGATAGACCTATTGTTTGATTTGTTATTTATCAAAAAATGGAATTGGGAGATGTTAAAGAAGGATGTGAAGGTTGGTGTCAACATTGGGAAATTAATTTATTAGGTTGAAAACGGTAGCTTACCTAAATAGGAAGCTTCCTGAAATTGTCAGCTTCTAAATTATTGACACCTAATATCTTTCAGGCTTTCTCTAGTTTGGCAGAAGCTGCTTATGAAGCTGCTGATGTGGCTGATGACCAAGAGCCTGCAACCTACTGCTTATCCTCATCCTTTGAATTAATTGTTCAGAAGCTTTTAGAGACCACAGACAGGTAACTTAGTCATTCTTTATCCATTTGACTGCTGACCAGTGAGCTTCAGGATATCCTTAAAAGTTTCATTTTATAAAATCTGCAGAATTTCTGAGGGCTAATGTTATCACTAGGTTAACTCTGTAGTGATTGGGAACTCTTACATGTACCATAATTCCATAGAATTGCACAAAAGCTACAGACATGTGGCTTCCTGGATTTTGGCAAAAGCCACATTGTTGCAAAGATATTGTCAAATGAATATGAATACTGTCTACTAAAACAGTAGAATGGGAGAAAAAGTGTTCTGGAATTTACTTGGAAGTTCTAAGAATTAACAAGAGAAACAGCATAAATTATATAAGAGACAATATGAAAAAATCATGCAAATTTCTTGAAGATACATAATTTGCTTAGGTTTCAGGATTATGATCCTCTTTCCATAGAATATGGAACTTGGACAGGATTTTTTTTTTGAGGTTCAGGCATACAGCAATAAAACATAAGCACTTTTAAAATTCTGCTCTTGCTCTCTGATTTCAAATGCTCAATCTTTTACCTGATATGGAGAAAGGCTAGCTGACTTTTGAGTAAATTTTGTAGCAGAATGAAGTATGGAACTACATAGTATTAAAATAATTCAGCATATTTTAAACAAGTTTTGCATCTTCTTGGAATTATCTCTCTATATATATGCCATTGTGAAATACTGTCTATATCTGAAGTTCATCCTGTAAAATAATTTGCCCTGTTTCTTATTATGGACAGCAATGACTACTACAGGTTAAAACAATTTAGAATAAAATAGTAGCAGTGTTTTTAGTTTGACTTGATTTCATGATTTCCTTTCCAAAAATCAAAAGCAAAGCCTCAATTTTCTGAGGAAGTTAATTAAATCTACTCTTCTTATATACTTTGTCAGTTTAATAATATATCCTTTCAGTACCTTCTGGCAAACAAGCATTTCTTTAATTTTATTTTGTTTACAGGCCATCTTTAATGTGGCTTTCAGTCAATCTGCAGTTAATTGTCTAAATTGGAAGCAGATTTGTAATTCTTTCCCCAGACAGCTAATATTAAGTCTTCATTGGTTCTCTCCCCCCACCCCCCCTACAGTCAGGTTTGTATACATTGGGACAATGGTAAGTTTTTGGCATTTGGCCTCTGTACACCACCACATTGAAGATGAAGTGAAAGTCACAAGATGTGAGCAAAGTGCAGACTTTCAGCTTTAATTCAAGGGGTTTGACAAAAGTGTGGCATTAACCACTGAGGAATTACAGCCATTTTGATACACCTACCCCCAGTTCTGCTGGCTCATAAATGATGGGACAAATGGATGACAAACAGTTTTATGGCCAGGTGTGGCCTGTTCCCTTGTTAGTCCATGACAAATCAAGCAGATAAAGGTCTGGACTGGGCTCTGAGTGTTACATTTACATTTAGTAGCTGTTCACTGGAACACTTAACATGAGGTCCAAAGAGGTGTCTTTGCAAGTAAAAGAGGTCAACTTAGAAAAATGGCAAACTCAGCAACACCAAAAGGTCTGGAAGACAACTAAAGTAGATGACTGCAGAATTTGGTCATTGGTGAAGAAAAACCTTTTCACAACATCTAGCCAAGTCAAGAACACTCATCAAGGTAGGCGCGTCATTGTCAAAGTCTACAGTTGAGAGATTGCTTCATGAATATAAATAGAGGCTTCCCAACAAGGTACACACCACTGATACTCGAATAGAAAGTCCAGATTAGACTTTGCCAGAAAACACCTTAAAAAGCCTGCCCAGTTCTGGAATAAGATTCTTTGGACTAGTGAAACCAAGATTAAATTGTACAAGAATGAGGGGAAGAGAAAAGCATGGAGAAGGAAAGGAATAGCTCATGATCCAAAGCATACCACATCATCTGTCAAACATGGTGGAGGCATAGTTATGGCATGGGCATATATGGCTGCCAAAGAATCCAGGTCACTGATGTTTATTGATGACCTGACTGCTGATAAAAGTAGCAGGATGAATTCTGAAGTATAGAGGGCTATACTCTCTTCAGATGCAGCCATATGCTGCAAAACTGATAGGAAGCTGCTTCATATTGCAGATGGATAATGTCCCAAAACATACTGCAAAAGCAACCCAAGAGTTTCTCTTTAGCAGTTTACATTTTTATTTTATTCGAAACATTAAATACAAACTCTGAAGGGGGAAAAAGGGTAATGTGCTTTTAAAGTTCTTAAAACAACAGACAGTTGGAAGTAAAAAAGGGAGACTCAAGCCTCCAACTGCTCCCACTGAAAATTGCAACCTTATAGATCCTCCTCAGGTAGGTCCACAGTTCGAGGGTTGTCTTGGGTCATTCCTAGTAGCTCCCATTCAAATCCAGGGAGTGTGCTGCCAAAGAGCCAGCTTTGGTGGCAAAAGCAGCTGTCTGTCAGGGAGGGGACCCTCCTGGTCAGAATGCCATCTTGGGGACTCTCCAGTCCAAGAATTTCTGAAGGAAAAGAAATGGGATATTCTTCACTGGCCAAGTCACTTAATCACCTGATCTCAAACCAATAGAGCATGGTGTTCACTTACTGAAGACAAGACATGAAGGTAGAAAGACCCACAGACAAGGAACAGCTGAAGGCAGCACCAGTAAAGGCATGGCAAAGCATCTCAAAGACGGAAACTCAGCATTTGGTCATGTGCATGGGTTCCAGACTTCAGCCACTCATTGACTGCAAATGATTTTTATCCAAGTATTAAAAACAGTCCTTATATTTGTAATTATGTTTGTTTGTCCCATCATTTATGAACCACCAAAACTGGGGGTGGGTGTATTAAAATGACAGTAATTCCTCAATGTTGAATGCCACATTTTTTTCAAACCCCTTTTTCAAACTAAAACTGAAAGTCTTCATTTTGCTCACATCTTGAGTGTTTCATTTCAAATTCAGTGTGGTGATATAGAGAGGCCAAATGCCCAAAAACCTATCATTTTCCCAATATACAGGTGAAACTCGAAAAATTAGAATATGATGCAAAAGTTCATTTATTTCAGTAATGCAACTTAAAAGGTGAACCTAATATATGAGATAGACTCATTACATGCAAAGCAAGATAGTTCAAGCGGTGATGTGTCATAATTGTGATGATTATGGCTTACAGCTCATGAAAACCCCAAATCCACAATCTCAGAAAATTAGAATATTGTGAAAAGGTTCAATATTCTAGGCTCAAAGTGTCCCACTCTAATCAGCTAATGAAGCCAGAACACCTGCAAAGGGTTCCTGAGCCTTTAAATGGTCTCTCAGTCTGGTTCAGCAGGAATCACAATCATGGGAAAGACTGCTGACCTGACAGTTGTGCAGAAAACCATCGTTGACACCCTCCATAAGGAGGGAAAGCCTCAAAAGGTAATTGCAAAAGAAGTTGGATGTTCCCAAAGTGCTGTATCAAAGCACATTAATAGAAAGTTATGTGGAAGGGAAAAGTGTGGAAGAAAAAGGTGCACAAGCAGCAGGGATGACCGCAGCCTGGAGAGGATTGTCAGGAAAAGGCCATTCAAAAGTGTTGGGGACTTTCACAAGGAGTGGACTGAGGCTGGAGTCAGTGCATCAAGAGCCACCACACACAGACGGATCCTGGACATGGGCTTCAAATGTCGTATTCCTCTTGTCAAGCCGCTCCTGAACAACAAACAACATCAGAAGCGTCTTACCTGGGCTAAAGAAAAACAGACCTGGTCTGTTGCTCAGTGGTCCAAAGTCCTCTTTTCTGATGAGAGCAACTTTTGCATCTCATTTGGAAACCAAGGACCCAGAGTCTGGAGGAAGAATGGAGAGGCACACACTGCAAGATACTTGAAGTCCAGTGTGAAGTTTCCACAGTCTGTGTTGATTTGGGGAGCCATGTCATCTGCTGGTGTTGGTCCACTGTGCTTCATTAAGTCCAGAGTCAATGCAGCCGTCTACCAGGAGATTTTGGAGCATTTCATGCTTCCTTCCACAGATGAGCTTTATGGGGATGCTGACTTCATTTCCCAGCAGGACTTGGCACCTGCCCACACTGCCAAAAGCACCAAAACCTGGTTCGATGATTGTGGGATTACTGTGCTTGATTGGCCAGCAAACTCGCCTGATCTGAACCCCATAGAGAATCTATGGGGCATTGCCAAGAGAAAGATGAGAGACACGAGACTGAACAATGCAGAAGAGCTGAAGGCCGCTATTGAAGCATCCTGGTCTTCCATAACACCTCAGCAGTGCCACAGGATGATAGTTTCCATGCCACGCCGCATTGAGGCAGTAATTGCTGCAAAAGGGGCCCAAACCAAGTACTGAGTACATATGCATGCTTATACTTTTCAGAAGTCCGATATTGTTCTATGTGCAATCCTGGTTTTATTGATTGCATGTAATATTCTAATTTTTGAGATTGTGGATTTGGGGTTTTCATGAGCTGTAAGCCATAGTCATCACAATTATGACAAATCACGGCTTGAACTATCTTGCTTTGCATGTAATGAGTCTATCTCATATATTAGTTTCACCTTTTAAGTTGCATTACTGAAATAAATGAACTTTTGCACGATATTCTAATTTTTTGAGTTTCACCTGTATACAAACCTAACTATATATACAGTGCTTCTAAAGTCTACACACCCCTCTTAAAATACCAGGTTTTTGATATGTAAAAAATCAGACCAAGATAAATCACTTCAGAATTTTTTCCACCTGTAACTTAACATAAAAGCTTTACACTTCAATTGAAAAACAATTTTTAGGGTGGAAATAACAATACAAAATACAATAACATGGTTGCATAAGTGTGCACACCCTCTTATAAGCAAGGATGAGAGTTCAGAGTGTTCAGAGTTAACCAGTCGTATTCAAACTGATGTTAAATAGTCAGTACACACCTGCTATCAATTAAAAGTGACTGATCAAGCCCATATAAAGTTAAGCTGTTCTAGTAGGATTATTCTGACATTTACAGGTAGTCCTCAACCTACGACCACAATAGAGCCCGAATTTTCTGTTGCTAAGCAAGGCATTTGTTCAGTGAATTTTGCCCCATTTGTGACCTTTTTTTGCCACAGTGGTTAAATGAATCACTGCAGTTAAGCGAATCATGCATTTATTAAGTGAATCTGACTTCCTCTATTGACTTTGCTTGTTGGAAGCTGACTGGGAAGGTTACAAATGGTGTTTGCATGACCCCAGTTAAATACATGCTGGTGGCACCATCATTCCAAAAAGTATGTTTGGCATACAAACAACACCATGCATCACCAAAAATACTCCATACTCACAGTGAAGTATGGTGATGGCAGCATTATGCTTTGGGGCTGCTTTTCTTCAGTTGAAACTGGGGCTTTAGTCAAGGTGAAGGGAGTTGGGAACAGTTCCAAATATCAGTCAATTTTGGCACAAAACCTTCAGGCCTCTGCTAAAATGCTGGAGATGAAGAGGAATTTCACCTTTCAACAAGAATCAAGGTAATTTTAATTCTGTTATATTTATCTGATTCTATAAACTGACTGCCCTCTGAACGTACTATTACTTGATCACTATTAGACATTCTTCAACCAATTCTGCAGTGATTATACCCTTCTTTTTAATGCATAATTTAATGTGTTTTTATTACTGTAGTTCTTTGCTAGCTTTCAATTTATTCTTAGAGTGCAGTCACTGTACAAATAGTCTTCACTTACCAAACATTTGTTAAACAACCATTTAAAATTATGACCGTGCTGAAAAAAATAACATTATGGCCTGTTTATGACCTTCACAGTGGCCCTCAGTCACTTGATCACTATAGTCAGTATGCATTCTCCTGTGTCTGACTTGTGTTCACATTGAGGTCACTTAACAACCCGTGCACTCCTCACTTAACAATGGCAACCAAGACTGCCTGTACTGCTGTACTAAGCAACATGCCGCACTTTATGAGCACTTTACTTAGTAATGGCAATTTTGTAATTATTTTATTTTATAACATACAAAAATTCCAGTTTCAGTTGAACAGTGTGTTGTCTGGGTACAATTCATTTTAGGAAATAAGAGTATTTACAACAATATTAATTGCATTAATATCAATTATATTAATGTTAATAATAATCATACTATTTGTTAAACCAAGTTAACGTATCTTCCTTATATCACTAATCCTTTCATATATTTCCCTGTTTCTAGCTCCTGTTTTTGTCAGCTAACCATTGATAAAATAAGTCCCAAGTCAAAAAATATTCAGTTTTTTCCTTTTCCTTAATTGTGTTAGCTTATCCATTTCTGCATATTCTAATATTTTTCTAATCACATCTTCATCTGTTGGGATCTCTTCGCTTTTCCATTGTTGTGCAAATACTATTCTTGCTGCAGTCAATACATGTAAAATCAGATATACATTCCCTGTCATGCCCCTGTTGGAGTCTAATTCTGAGGGAGAGATGGAACAGCTGACAGGGAGTGGGAGTGTGGCTCCGGTGGTTGTGGAGGAAACTGGGGAAGGGCACAGGCCAGATGGGCATTCAGAGGAAGACCCAGGCCCATCCCCTCTTCATCGTAGGGCACGCAGGGAGGAGTGGAGAAGGGAGAAACGTGAGTGGCATGGTCTATGGGGGAGGAAGGGTCCCTGATCCCTTTCATGGACTGCAGCTGGGAGGACTGGTTAAAAGGACAAACTGCGCATGGCAAAGTTGCTAGAAGCAAAGTGTGCATTCTTGTTGGAGCTTATCTGTGTTTTGGCTTCCCAACTGTGGTTGCTGCGTTTTCTGGTAGAAGTCTGCAATTAATCATCCTTGCCTGCTGTAGTAATTCCTTCAGTGTGGTGTGTTGGGTTTTTTATTTCAAATTAACTTTACTTTGGGTGCGGACTGCATTTACTCCCTCTGTAAACTGTCTTCTTTAAGGGTTTGATATCCTGCCAAGGATAATTGGACATTGGGGCCAAGTTGGAGGCATTAAAGGGACTTTCTTCTATTTTTGTGACTTGGTTATTTTTGTGTCGTGTCCCAGGTCATCACATTCCCTTTGTTATACCTGTCTGGTAAAATACCCAGCAAAAATGTCTCTGGTTTCAAATCTATATGTTGTTTTATCATTTTTTCAAGCCATGTATGTATTTTTGTCCAATATTTTTTCACTTTTTGACATGTCCACCACATATGATAGTATGAACCAGGTATCTGGTGGCATTTCCCACATTTTGCAGATTTATCCTGAAACATCTTTGCTAACCTTGAGGGCAGAAAATGCCATCTATTATAAAAATTTTCTTTGTATGCAGTAGACATTGTTAATTTATAATTTCTATCCCATAATTTCTGCCATTGATCTAACTCAATCAAATAGCCAAAATTTTTAGCCCATACTATCATTGTCTCTTTTACTTGTTCCTCTTCCATCTTGATACTTAACGAATAGCTATGTTTTCTTTATTGATTTTTCATCTGTCCCTGTTAATATCTGATCTAGTTCTGTTAATTCTTTATTTAAACCATACATTTCAACATCCTTCTCATATCTACATTGTATATGCACATATGACCACTATGTTATCTCAATCCCAGTAATGGCAATTTCTGTTGCAATCTAAGGACTACCCGTACTGTTACTTTTGTGCTATAGAAGAACCTTTATATTATAGATCTAGTCTTACCAACCTAGTGTATTGTAAAGTGTTGGACTACTATGTTGGATGTGTGATTAGGCTTCCATATAGCGATTAAGTTGGATACTTTGGGATGCTGTAGGATAAAATACATCACTATGAAACAATAGGCACAAACATATCTCATCTCCCCAAAATTGGACATGAACTCTGGCCTTTTCCAAAGTTTCCTTGAATGAGGGAGCCCCCACCACTCTGTATCAGATTTAAAATCTAGTTCAATATCCTCTATTCCACAATATCCAAATAAATGCCAAAAAACAGGTGATAAGTGCAATGTTTGGATAAGACTTCCACTTTTCTCTACTTAGCATGTTAATTTCTATTGGAGTGATACAAGAGAAAAAAACATTTTATTCTGAACTTGGAGCTAGATAGCCCACTTGGTACATTGTGTTAGAACATTTTCTGTGGCTTGTACTCCAGTGGAACCTAACCAAAATATGTTGACTATTTTATCATGTGAGCAGAACAATAAATAAATAACTAGCATCCCCAGTTTTCATCCTGGGATCCCAAAAGTAGTGCGGCAACAATCCATACCAAGTGCTCAAGGTTGACTCAGCCTTCCATCCTTCTGAGGTGGGTAAAATGAGGACCCAAATTGTTGGGGGCAATATGCTGACTCTGTAAACTGCTTAGAGAGGGCTGTAAAGCACTGTGAAGCAATATATAAGTCTAAGTGCTATTGCTATACCATCTAATCCCAGTGAGTTAATGACTGTGCCCCAATAGAATAGTCACATATTAGGATTGTTGTTTGGCCACTGCTAATAAGCTAAGAGTGCTAGAAAGGTCTAGCCCTTATTTCTAGTAGCAGGTAACAAAATTCTCACTCTTTTTTACTTTGCCTCCATCCTTAACATTCCCCCCCCCCCAAAAAAAAAACCCCAAAAAACCCCCAAACAGAACATTTTACCCTGTCTTCTGTTGCTGTACCACTTCAGTGGATAGTCTTCTGGATGGTTGGTATTTAATTGTGTCTGTGTTCTAATGCAGGGGTCGCCAACCTTTTGGACCTTAGGAACCACCAAACTCATAATTTTAAATCCCGCGGACCACTAATATGAATCCAACATGCATCTCACTGAAGCGCCTGGACTCCCACTGACAGGATGGGGTCCTTCAGGCATTTAGCTTGGCTGCCTGTTTCTGCAACCTTAAATACTCAGAGTCATTTGGACCCATTTTCCAGAGAAAAGAAAACACCGGGATCTCATCTCTCTGTCATCTCTTTCTCTCTGCCCCCCCCCCTCTCCCTCCCTCCCTCTTTCTCTCTCTCCCTTTCTCCCTCTTTCTCTCCCTTTCTCCTCCTTTCCCTCCCTCCATTCTTTCTCTTTTTCCCTCCCTCCCTCTCTCCTTTTCTCCCTCTTTCTCTCTCATCTCTCCCTCCCTCCTTTCTCCCTCTTTCTCTCTTTCCCTCCCTCCCCCCCCCCCCCCTTTCCCCCTCTCCCCCTCCCCCCCTCCCCGGCAGCCACCCGACCTCCTTGATACGCAGAGGCAGAAGGCAACACCAGTTCCGAGGTTCTTTCCCCCCCCCCCCCGTTTCCCTCTCTCTTCCTTTCTCCCTCTTTCTCTCTCTCTCTTTCTGCCTTTCTCCCTCTTTCTGATGTCCGGAGGCCGACGAGCCACATGCTGAAGACCAGATGGCTGGCAGGGAGGTGGGGCAACAGGAGTAATACAGGTGGCAGATGGACTCATACACGCGGGAGATCGTGGCATCGGAGCCCTTCCTGGGTGTACACTGGCCTCGAGGGGGTGGGGGGAAAAGAACCTCGGAACTGGTGTTGCCTTCTGCCTCTGCGTATCAAGGAGGTCGAGTGGCTGCCAGTGATGCTCTCAGGTGAAGATGTTGCAAAGGGGAGGCTCAACTCCCTCCCCTAAGGAGCTTATCTTCTTCCTCGCAAGGGGGAGGCTGAACCCCCTCCCCTCGGGAGCTTCTCTTCCTCCTCGCCAGAAGTGCTCACACGCAATGCGCTCACCATCCCTCTGGCACCCAACAAGCCTCCTACTTCCTGCTGGGTGTGTGAGTGCTTCTGGCGAAGAGGAAGAGAGGGTCGAGCCTCTCCCTTGCAACATCTTCACCTGAGGGCATCGCTGGCAGCCGCTTCCTGCAGCTCAGGTGGTCCGCGCTCTTCCCGGTGCTGCTCGGCCTCATCGATGGGCTGAGGGAGGAAGCAGCAGCCACGACACGGGTTTGCTAGGGAGACTGCAGGATTGCCCCGCCTCCCCGCCAGCCATCTGGTGTTCAGCACGCTGCGGCCCACCAAAATTTTATCACGGACCACCAGTGGGCCACAGCCCACCGGTTGGTGACCACTGTTCTAATGTACTCTTGCAACTTCTGTTTGTATTTTGTTTCAGGCCTGATGGACATCAGAACAACTTGAGGAGTGCTGCATATGAAGCTCTAATGGAAATTGTCAAAAATAGTGCTAAGGACTGTTATCCTGCTGTCCAGAAGACAACTTTAGTTATCATGGAACGGCTGCAACAAGTGCTCCAAATGGAGGTTAGCTTGGATGGCTGAAAGATGTGCATGTTGATAGTATCCCCCAAAATGGTTGATCTCTAGAACAAAAAAGCTCAACTTAGGGAGTTTTGTATTTTATGTTTTGTTTTGTGGGTGTTTTGCATGCTTTCTGAGATTCCTGTAAAATTTCATATGCTAACATTGAAATTAAAACATATATTGCTGGAGGAAAATATTGCCTATATTGGGACTTTCCTGTAGTCTGGTCATCACTGTTATGTTCTAATTAAACATAGCACAAGTTCTTAAACCAGACTATCTGTTAGAAAGATGGCCATGGATATCCTCATTCAAATGCACACTTAAGATTGGAATCTGTTCTGACTGTAGATCTTAATATTCCTAATCAAGTTAATTTTATATACATGAGTTCTTCAATAGATATAAAAAGCTTTTAAACACATTTCAAATGCTAAACAGTATTTTCTCTCCAGTCTCATATTCAGAGCACAAGTGACAGAATCCAGTTCAATGATCTTCAGTCTTTGCTATGTGCTACGTTGCAGGTAAGCATTTATTACTTGTTTGTAAAGATGTTCCAAAAGCACATAGTGTAAGAACTAGCAGTAATATTCAGGAGAAAACAGATTTATATTGGACTTTTTACAAATCGAATGCCCCATGGTTCAAGCTTGAATTTGTGAAGAACAATGGTACATAGAAAAATGAAGCAAGACAAATGGTTTATTGTTTAAGACAACAAATAGCTTCGATATACACTTCTCTTCAACTGGTCCCAGAACTGGTATATCAAAGAAAGAGGTTGCATCTCTCACTGCTTTAGCAAAGAAATTTAAGAGCTTTTGCACAGATAAAGTCAGTCTATTGTAGCTGATGCTCACCAAAAGCTAGCAAATAACTGTCCTTCTTCCATTGTATTTTGCTAGATACTAAAGAAATTAGGACTTATTTCTAAGCTAAAAAGAATTTATCAGATATTATTTATAAATTTATTCCATCTACGGTGGAATAGGTGATAGATAGTTGTCATTAAAAATTTGCTTGTAGATTCTTCCAGTTGCATAATTCATGTCTATTCACAAGATAAGAGTATTGGCTGACTAGAAGTGAAATGGGGATGGGTGGGGGGAAGTAGCATTACAAGAAAGCTTCCCATAAATTTTCATCTTACCTTTCAACAAACAGAATGTCCTTCGTAAAGTCCAGCACCATGATGCTTTGCAGATTTCAGATGTGGTGATGGCATCTCTTTTGAGGATGTTCCAAAGTACGGCAGGATCAGGAGGTGTCCAAGAGGATGCCCTCATGGCTGTTAGCACTCTGGTAGAAGGTAAATGCTTTGCCTACAGCCGTAATGGTGAACTTTTTCCATGTTGCATGCCAAAAGTGCGCTCGTATGCCTGCACCCATAATGCAATGCACGTGCGACTCCCCCACCCCCCTGCGCATGCAACCCCCTGCACGTGCACCGCACGCCTCTGTGCATGCATGCGTGACCCCCCGCACCGCACACATCTGTGCATGCACGTGACCCCCTGCATGGCGCATGCCTCTGCGCATGTGCGTGTGCCTCTCCCTGCGCATGCATGGCAGATACTCGACAATCAGCTGGCTAGCGGGGTGCGCATGCAGTGGGGCTCTTCTGGGCAACCTCTCGCGTACCAGCAGAAGTGGCTCTGCGTGCCACTTCTGGCACGTGTGCCATAGGTTCGCCATCATGGGCCTACAGGAAGGGATTTTTTTTAACATTGAAGTCTATGGATATATTACTAAACCTTTAGGCTGTCCAAATTCTAGTGTTATGATACAGTTGGGACATTCTATACATTTGGGGACGGATATATTGGTTCTGGACATAAGAATATAAATGTAGAAGAGACTTGTGGGATAAAGTGGGGCAGATCAGTTGATACCAGAAAATTATATGGGCATTTTAATTGGTAAGAATTCCAGTACAGATAAAAAGAGATACTGATACGATGTTATGGAACAAGCGCCAAAGCAGTTATGTCTTGATTATGAACATGTAAAATTACAAATGTTCGTAATACAAGTAGTCCTCAACGTACAACAGTTCATTTAGTGACTGTTTGAAGTTACAATGGCACTAAAAAAAGACAACTGTTTTTCACACATAACCATTACAACATCCCCATGGTCATGTGATCAAAATTCATATGGCAACTGACTCACATTTAAATGTGATTCCCCCTTTATACCGTTCTGACAAAGTCAATGGGGAAGCAAGATTCACTTAACAACTGTGTTGCTAACTTAACAGCTACAGTGATTCACTTAACAACTGGCAAGGAGGGTTGTAAAATGGGGCAAAACTCGCTTAACAAATGGCTCATTTAGCAACAAATTTTGGGCTCAATTGTGGTCATAAGTTGAGGACTACCTGTACCATATAAAGTGTTTCATACATAATACCTGTCATAAAGCTTTGCCAAACAATTCTTTTTTTTTTTTTTCAAAAAGTTTTTTATTTTTATTTTTAAAAAATTAAAACTATCTTTCAGTTATACAGTGTGTCAACTCGGTACATATTTCTTGTGCACATATTAATATTTGTTACTAAATGTTTTCTTACTAAGTTTACATTCATATTACAACCTATTCAACATTATATCTCATTGTAACAATATCATTTAATTTCTTACTTTATTTTCCAGCCATTTATAAAATAGATCCCAAATCATATAATACTCCTTTTCTTCTTGTTCTCTAATTGCCAATGTTAACCTACTCATTTCTGCACATTCCAATATTTTCTTAATCACCTCCATCGGAATATTTTCATTTTTCCAATTTTGAGCAAATACAACTCTAGCTGCTGTTATTATATGTATAATTAAATATATATATTTCTTTACTATAATATTCCCAATAAAAATATCTCAGGCTTTAAGTCTATATGTTTTATCATCTTTTCCAACCATGTATGTATTTTTGTCCAATATCTTTTAGCTTCTGTGCATGTCCACCACATATGGTAATATGATGCCGGTATCTGATGACATTTCCAACATTTCGCTGACTTGTCTTTAAACATGTTTGCCAGTCTTGCCGGGGGAAGATGCCATCTGTAAAACATCTTATACAAATTTTCTTTATAAGCTGTTGACATTGTTAATTTATAATTTCTATCCCATAATTTCTGGCATTTATCCAAGTCTATACCATAACCATTTTTTCCCCCAGGCTATCATCATCTCCTTGACTTGTTCTTCTTCTAATTTCACTCCTAATAAATAACCATACAATTTTTTAATCATGTTTTCTTCTGTTCCTGTTAAAATTTTATCTAGTTAGTCAGTTCTTTATAAAACCCATCTGTTTTAACATCTTTTTCATATCTTGAATGTATTTGCATATATGAATACCAGTTCATATCAGTCCCTTGCTCATTCAATTCTTGCTTTGTTTTGACTTCACCCCTTTCATTTAAAACGTCATTATATCTAACAATATGTCCCATTTTAAAAACATTTGGATATATAAATGCCTCCATTATCGATAACTAGACTGGTATTTTCACATAATGTTGGTTCCCTTATTTTCTCCCATGTTGTCAATAAAGCATTTCTCACATCATGTCTTTGAAAGTAACCATGTATCTTATTTTTCTTATACCATTAAAAAAAGCATGCCAACCCAATTGTAAATCATGTCAAAAATGTTAAAAGCCTTGTATCTCTTAATACGATCCATTCTTTCATCCACATCAATACCGCAGCCTGATAATATAATTCCCAATTGGGTAGCCCAAATCCTTCTCTCATTCTTGCATCCTATAAAAGTTTAAGTTTAATCCTTGCTTTCTTCCCTTGCCATATATATTTCAATATCTTATTTAAATCATCAAAGTATTTTTCCCAACTTTATTGGGATTGTTTGGAATAAGTATCATACTCTTGTTAATATGTTCATTTTAATCGTCGCTATTCTCCCTATCAATGATAGTTGCAAATTTCCCCATTTTTTCAGGTCCATCTTAATCTGTTGTTTCAATCTACAATAATTATCCTCTTTAAGTGTCCCGCATCTTTCTGTTAATTGGATCCCCAAATATTTCACTTTCTTTGTTATCTGGATATATAGTCTATCCGTCAATTTCATGCCCCTGGTGGAGACTGACTCTGAGGAAGAGGAGGAACAGCCAACGGAGTGGGAGTGTGGCTCCAGAGGTGGTGGAGGAGGTTGGGGAAGGGCAAAGGCCGGCTGAGCAGTCAGAGAAGGGTCCAGGCCCATCCCCTATCCATCCTAGGTCATGCAGGGAGGAGAGGATCAGGGAAAAGGGAGGTCTACTCAAGAGGAGATTACCATGATCCTCCTCGTGGCTTGCAGGTGGGAGCTATGTATATAAGTTTGCAACTGTGCAGTTAGAATTGCTGAAGTCAATTAGTGTTCACCTTGAAAGAGGCTTATGTTTGCTGGCGTTCTTCCCATGGACTTTTCTCGGTTATTTTCCTGGAGTTTATAATTAGTTATCTCGGCTTGCTTCGGAACTCTCATCAATGCGGTTTGTTTTGGTTTTCTGTTTGCCTCCTTATTTACTTTTGTTACTTTAAACTGTGCCTAATAAAACAGTGAAGTTATGTTGAAGGCTTTACCGGACTTTAATATATGTTTTGGGTTTGGGGTTATTTTGAGAGACTACGGGTCATCACATTTTGACTTCAGCTACCCCTTCAACTTATTTTTGCTTTTTGTGGGGTGACCATGGATCAGCTCAGAGCAGAGATTGCCCAGTTAACCCAGCAAGTGGCTCTTTTGACTGCACAGGTGGCACAAATGCAAGCTGCCCGGCCACGCTGAAAATGCCCAGTGGCAGTGCCAGATAAATTTGATGGTTCGCTGGCCCAATTTCCGGCATTTTTTGGGCAGTGCCAGCTTTACATGAGCCTTCGGCCTGAGGACTTTCCCACTGACCGGGATAAGGTGGGTTTTTTGATTAGTTTGTTGTCAGGCTCTGCAGCATGTTGGGTGACGCCTCTGCTGACCCAGCCCAACCAAGTGTTGGACAATTACGCTGAGTTTTGCCGTCAGTTTCAGGCCATGTTTGAGGACCCTGTTCGAAGCCAAACAGCAAACAGACATTTGAGAGAGTTGAAGCAGGGGCGTGGTTCACTCATGGATTATATTGCTAGTTTTCAGGTGGTTGCTCAGGATGTACAATGGAATGAGGCAGCACTATTAGACCAGTTCCAGGAGGGTTTGTCGTCGGAGCTCCTGGATGAGTTGGCGCGCACTGAATACCCTCACACCCTTCAGGACCTCATGCATTTGTGTCTTCGTATCGATGCAAGACTTCAGCAGCGACGGGTGCGACGACGGACAGAGACTGTATCTGTTTCCAACAAGATGGAGCCCTTGGTGGAAGTGCCTTTGGAGAAACCCATGCAGTTGGGGCCTGGCCGCCCTCGCCTGACTCAAGTAGAAAAGAATAGACGTCATGATGGTTTATGCCTCTATTGCGGCAATCGAGGCCATTTTGTGGCCAAGTGTCCTGTTAAGACATCCACAGCAGCGACACCTGCGGTGGCGGGAAACGAGCATCGCTTGGCCGACGGGAGTCTGCAGGTCGGGGTGTAAAGGCCATAGGCCCGCCATCTTCACCAACCTTGCCACCCTTGCCACCTTTGACATCTTCGACATCTCCACCACAGTCACTATTAGTGAAGCATCTTGTGCTGCCAGCAAGTGTGTTTGTGCCTGGTGTGGGAGCGGTGGAGATCCCAGCTTTGGTCGACTCGGGCCAAAGCCAATTTCATGGATGCTCATTTTGTCAAGCAGTGGTTCATTCCTCAGCAACAGGTATCCCCACCAGTAATAGTGGAGATGATTGATGGTCAGCCCCTTCGTTCGGGACCTGTGGTTGCTGCAACCAAACCCCTTTGCATGCGTATTAGGCAGCATGTGCGGCTGGTGTTGCAACGTTTGTGTGATAACCACTTGTTTGCTAAACGTGAGAAGTGTCAGTTTGTACAAACCTCAATTGACTTCTTGGGACATCATATTTCACCTGCTGGGGTGGAAATGAACCTGGAAAAAATTCAATCGTTGCAGGAGTGGGAACCTCCACAGCGGGTTAAGGATGTGCAATGACTGTTGGGGTTTGCAAACTACTACGGCACATTTATTCCCTGTTTTGCTGCCTTGACTGCTCCCCTTTCTATTCTGCTCAAGAAGGGGGAGAAGGTCCATTGGGGTGCTGAGGAGCAGGTAGCTTTCGAGGCATTGAAAGTCGCCTTTGCTTCTGAGCCTATCCTCAAACACCCTGATCCAGGCCAGCCATTTGTGGTGGAAACAGATGCTTCCGATGTG